ATTTTTCTAGACAGATCTGGATTAATGTTTATCCCAGGAAAGAGATTACTGTATGTCTGATTCTAGTTGTAAACAGACATTATTAAACAGAAGGTTTATGTTCATGAAATGCGACTATGGGTGTTAAAGCACTTATGATTTATTATGTGCAAAAAGAAAAATTAACCTGTTCATCTGCTGTAGTACAAGATGCGCTGTGGATTTTTGCATAATTTGGAAGGCATCTGCTCCCTTGGAATACAAATAACCAGTGAAATGAGAAGGATTCTCCTCTCATTTACACTGATCCAGTGCCCTACACCGCAGTTATGTTGAATGGTTTAACCAACAAAAGAATAGTCTTAATTGCTTTTACAAAGCAATAATATTTCTATGAGAGATAATGTTGGCAAAGTCTGTTTGCTTGTAAATTTTTAGGGTATTTTCTTACAACTGAAAAAAAAAAAAACCCCAAGAAAAAAAGTATATGTGCAGAGAGCTTAACAAATGACCTTATTTGTGTTTCCCAAATAATTCCCTGTCAGTAATTGAAAGCACAATGTTTGGAGACTTTAATTTTTTTTTTAAATATATATTTTTTCAATCTATTTTTTCACATAATTGATGTTGTAGACCATTTTTCTCCTGCTTTATTGCATCACTGCTGCTATGAGCGAGATATAGGTACAACATCCACATTTTTTAATACCACCTTGCCTAAGGAGCTAAATAATCGCACCTGAGTCAGTGTTCTGGGTGAGGTAAAAAAATCTCACCTTAAGGAAACTGCAAACTCCAAAACTTTGCTTATTTGGTAGAGAAGACATTGCAACTTTATTGCTCGCTAGCAAGAAAGTATCTTTTTACTGTGAAAGCAAAGAAAAATTAGGTATCAAAATCTGTTCATCCTATTTATGGGCTGTATTTGTAGCCAGCTGATTTTTGCATAATGCCATTTGAAATTATCCATTTAACAATGATGGATGATACAAATGTGTTTCTTTGCCTCCACTTTGTAACTGATCTGTCTACTTATAGATTGTATTGGACATGTTGCTGATGCTTTATTTGTAAAATTCACTTACATATGTGAGAAATTTGTCCATTAAGTCTTACTGACTTCACAGTGGCTTCTCAGATAACTAGACTTATTCCTGTATGCAAGCAAAACCAGCCCAAGCCATAAAAAGCATAGGAACATAGAGCAAAAAGATCTGGGAATATTATGAGGTGTGTTAAGTAAATTAAAATTTAAGCAGTTAAACAACTTCTGAATAAAAGGTAAGATGTTCTGAATGCTTTAGATTAAAAGAGTTATAATCTTAAATTGCCATCAAAACACTTGATTTTGCTGTTACGTATTTCTTAGCTCTATTTTACATTTGGTACAACATTATATGTTGTGTCATGAGAAATATGTAACTAACGTTTTCAATATTTTGCCTAATTATCAAATCTTCCAATGTCTGTGAAGTGTGAATCCAGAGTTAATGTTCACAAACATATTGATTAACCCATAATAGTTTCTGTGGGCTTTTCTAATGGTTCAGTGTAGCCTCTGAAGCTGATGAGAACTTCTGGAGGTACCAGGGATGCAGGTGAGAGTCCTTCAAGAAGCCAGGGTCAGCTGCTTAAGAGTTTGTGCAGTGAAGCATTGTATTTTGGGAGGCACTAAAATATATGAGGTGCTCTTTTCTTCACTTTGTATTAGCAGACATCAATAAGTCATAGAGATGACCTCCATCTTCCAAAGAGAAGGAAAGCTAGAAATGAAGACACATTTCTGTTATCAGTCTGCTGTGGGTCGTAAGTTGAACTGGTGGTATATTTTCCTCTGAAAGCTGCATAGCCTTGACGCGGTGTTTAACAGTATTAAGCTTATTGCTGCTGAGCTAAACATGTCTGAAGCAAACGATGACCCTCACGTCTTTGCAATAGCAAAATGTCTCCCTGATGTGATCCTGCAGACTTGGAGCATTAAGTTAATTTTCCCCTGGATTTCTGAGCTGCCTTCTTTTTACCCGGTGGAGAGCTTGTGAAGAATACAGCTTCTGACCGAATGACAGAACGTGGAGGGTGAAATTAGGTGCATTCAATTAGAAGATGACAAAAAGACCATCTAAATATTTGTCAGGGTACTACTTACAGGGCGTAGTGTCCAGACTGGGAAGTGAAAGGCGGCTGCTCTCAGGATTTAGTAGTTTGGGGGGTGAAAAATATGGGTAAATCATCCAGATTCCTTATGGGGTTGGAAGGGATAATTGAGGGTATCAAGTTGGCTGTTATGCTTCCAGGGCTGGTCATCCTTCTCATGTAATCTCAGATTAGTTCTTTTCTTGTATTCACTATTACAGAATTAACCATCATAAAGTTTTTTGGACCACTTTTCGTTATCCATCCACCACTAGAGGATGGATAATGCAGTGGTTTATGGGAGGTATTGTAAAAAAGGGGCTGCACCTTCTCCACAATTAAAAAAACCTATCACAAAACAAACAAAACCACAAAGCCATGAAACCCAAAGAAACAAAAAGCATGGACAAACTTGTCAACTGTGAGATTGTGAGGTTTGGACCAGAAGTTTTACTGGTTTTCCAGAGGGCAAAAAGATGCTCTTGAAAACTAACATTCAAAATAAGTGGTAAATTGAATTAAGAGATCAAGATACGCAGCTTGGTTTGGCCACGTCTGTTTGTCCGTATATTAAATTCATAACAACTTTTTAAAATCCGAGAGCAAATCTCAGGCTTTTAATTTCTTGTTCAGAAAATTTTAATAAGGAAAATATAAGATGCGAATACAGCCTATGATGTTTACCTTTTTTTTTTTTTTTTTCATTTCTGTTGCAGCAGTTCAAGGGAGGATATGACTATGATAGGGTTAATCCAGCTACATAAAAATCCATGCTGTGTATAATAGTAGTAAAGCTTGTGATCCCTTGATCTTTGATTAGATCCAAGCTAGTAAATATCTTGTATTTAATCAGAATGAGTTGTACTGCATGTAGTATAAGTCACCTTCACAGATGGGATGTAGCAGCAGAGTTGTTCGCGAATATTTGTTTTAATCCTTTCCAGAGCAAGCACGCTCTATGTTTCTTTGTTGTAAATCAGATTCAAGCAACTAAAGACCAGCATGAAGGAAAGACATTTACTTGCAGGCAGGAATAGGAAAGTGTGAGAACCTTTTTTTCCTTTTTAAAGAAAAATGTAACTTACTAGATTCTGGAAAGGTATTTTTCAGTATTCCATAAACATAACCAAGACACCATGGCTGCTTTTTTAGACTGGGATGCAAATATCATCACTAGAATTTAATCTTTAACTGTTCATGCACATTTCTACCTTAGAAGACTATGAATGTATGGAGACTAAGATTTATTATGGTAAATGTTTAGCCTCTATTATTATTCTATATTTTGAAGTTATTTAGTTAGAATGGTAGCTGTTCTGTGTGCTGGTAAACTGAAATTATTAAAACATTATCTGTAAGGCCAGTTTTGTGTGGTTTGTCAGCGTCCTATTTACCTAAATCTGTCATAATTGCCTTCTGATACATCTTCTTCTGACATGCCAAATATTGAAAATGAGATGACTCTTTACTGGGAGACTTTCTACCGAATATCATTTTTCTGTGTTCATAACTTGATGGTAATAACTGTACGACCTGTAGTTAAATGCATCTCAATTTCTCTCACTTATTTTTCCTAATCACCACACAGAGCCTTCTGTGCTCAGAGGTGTGATTAGATTTAACCTGCCATCATATCTGAAGAACTTTCTGTACAACATATTATACATTGCAAGAATTATATATGTAAATGGTGGCTCTAAGTGTAATATATAAATAGATAAAAAGATGAGTTGCTCTCATGCCAAAGTTAATTCCTGATCATTTTTTTTCTGTTTTTAACAGGAAGTCTGGAGAGCCCCCACTAATAAATGGCTGGATCCCTTACCTTGGGAAGGCTCTGATTTTTAGAAAAGATGCTTTCAAATTCTTACTGGATCAGCAAAAGAAACTTGGAGATATTTTCACTGTACATATTGCTGGTGAGAAATATTTTAGTATTTCTCTTTTTTTTTTTACATCGGTAAAGTTAAATACTAATTCGGATGCTTAGTTTAGAATCTTCTTTATCTAAAAACATTTTTGTGTAGCATAGACCAATAAAAATTACTTAAATTCACGTGTATTGTATAAATAATAATTATCCATAGGATATAATTATGAACATGTGGATTTATGTACAGCTATAGGTGTATATGCATATTGACAGAATTTGTAGGCATGTAATGTATGAGCATAGCTTTTGCCAGCACATTTAATTGTGTATTGTTTGGGGATTTTTTTCCTAAAGAAGGGAGAACTAACATCATCTTGACACTGCACAGAAAAATATCAGATTAAATTTAGAAAACAAGAAAAAAAGTGCAGAATATGTTCTCACACATTTTACAACTGGTTGACAGGAACACAAGGGAATGAATGACACATTGACTCAGTGATACAATCAGGACTGGAACATAGAAACTTCCCATTGCCAGCCTTTTACTCTGATCTTGCTTGCTGAAAATAACAATATAATAAAGTATGATATAACCTTGCTGCTTTCTGTATTTATAGCTGTATTACTACACTAGCTTGAATACAAACATTTGAGTGATTTCACGTAGACATTTAGCTGTAGAAAAAAACATAGAATGAAGCTGGAATCTTGAATGAAACCTTAATATCTAAATTTACATATATACACAGATATGCTTTTAACTAAAATCAATTTAAAACCCAGTTTTTTCTTCTATTCGGAAAAAGGCAAACTCTTATTAGTGTAGGTGCATGTAATGGAACTTTTTCCCCTTTACATGCTGATATACTTGTTCAAATGATCAACTTTAGAGTTAAGTCTATCTCGGTTTTAGCTGTTCCTGTATTTTTAGGGAGTTTCAAATAAAAATGTAAAGTGTAAAGTATAAAGTGTGCTTTGTAATTTCCTGCAATAGCTTGAAATTACATTCATATTAGCTTTATATTTCGATACAAGTAATACTTTGCAATAAAAATAATATTTTTCTTCAAAAGTCAATTAATTAAATTGCAAGCCATATGTTTAGTTAATAAAATTTTTCTTCCTCTTACCAAATCTGTTCATTTTTTTTTTATTTGGAAGAGCATTTTTACTTCTATTAAATGTGTGATATTTTTTATTCATTCAGGGCTTTTTCTTTGGAAACTGGTACACTTAGGGGTTTTTTCCTACTTGAAATTGAGTTTATTGAAATATAGTTTTTGTTGAAATATAGTCTTTTTTATTGTAAATGTATATTCACAGTATATACAGTTGTGGCTTCTTATGAATACAGATTAATAGTTGTAATTCAGAGACTACCTTAGTATATTCATAGAACCAGATGCAGTCATACTTCAGAATCCTTACTGTGTTTAATCAAATGCTTATTTCTTTATGCAAGGCTATGTTTAGAGTTTTGTGTGTTTAAGCAATCTATGAGTGTAATCTAGTTTAACAAATTTCTATTTGTGTGCTAGACAAAATTCCATTTCACCTAATCTCCCTGTGTTTGGGTATTTTGAGGAAGCCTTCCTTGATAAAGACTGAGTAAATAGAGTGAGTTCTGGATCATTTCAGCCTTATGCAGGAAGATCTTTGATTTTGTGAGTTTGTCATAACAGATATTCCCCTTTAAGTTCTCTTTCCTTGGTATGAAAATACTAGCCATCAAGAATTCACTGAGGAGAAACAGTTTGTCATTCACAAGTCAAGGAAGAAGCTGAAGCTAGTTAGTACCTCCTATCATGTCCCCATCTGAAGACGTACAGAATTTCTATATGTCTTACTGATTTGAGAAAGATGATGTTATATGTTCGGCAAACACAGCATAGCTTGCTGTATATGGACTATCATTACTTTGCTCCCCTGGTGGGTGTCTAAAGGTCCTGTCAAAAAATTCTATCAATATATATTGTTCTAATTATTGGTTCTCAAACTAGTTCATTTGGAAAATGTGGAACGATGCTTGGAGTTTCTGGCGTTGCCCCGTACCGGTAATGCGATTTTGCTGATTGTACTTTCCCATGAGATGAGCGAATGATTGTCATCCCTAAAAGTCGCAAGGGACATGGATGTCATCTTAATAAAGAAATTAAAAAGCACATCTTTCTATGAGAAACAATGTAAATTCCTGACCTGTCGCAGAAAATAGTTCTCTAATTGGTTTTGTGTGGTGGTGCAGCAGAATCGTTTTCCCCAAACGTCATGCCAGCGAAGCACCACTGTACATCATTGTCAGCAGTTCAGCAGAATCTCCCTAATAAGAGGACGATTACGTAAATGCAATAGTCTTCAAAAAAAGAAAAAAAAAAGAAAGAAAAGAAAAGGAGGGGGGAGAGAGAGGAGAGAGTCTGTGTGTTGAGATGATATACTTTCCAAGCCAACCTCTGCTTGTTAAGGGTCAGCAGGATAGGCAGACAGCTAGGTAAGAACTTGAAACAATTTTGTCATTGTTTCTTGGAATTAAACTTTGTCTCCTTTTCCTGGCATGTTATTAGGAATGATACTGAAATTTACAACACTGTCTCTGAGACTAACTCAACTTTTAATAAGATAATATAAGGGTTTTCCACTAAACACACTTGCTTTTTTCAAATGCTGCTGCTAAGTCATTCTTTTCTTTTAAATCATGATACAGCTACAGTAACATACCACATTTTTCTCTTAAGCAAAAGGTAATTTACATTAACTCCTTACCAAGCTGAAGCCCGCTGCAAGCATTACAGAAATAATATCCCGTCATTACATGCCATCTGAAATGCTTGTCTTTTATCATTAGCATTAGAAAGCTCCAGAATGCATTATTAGAGTAATTTCTTAACTATCATACAAATACTGGCTTCTGTGCTTGGATTTACCAAAGTTGACAATCTTCATATTTTCCACATCAATCTTCTATTTCTAGGAGACTGTAAAAACTAAATGGAGATAACCAAGCTATTTGCAGCATGGGTGTAACGCAGACTGAAGGATTGGATGGGGAAGTATGAATTCTCTGTAGCTATATTAAAAAATAAAATAAAATCAGAGGGCTTTTTACAGAAACAAGGATACATCTCATCTTCACTGGCTTTTATAGTACTAAATAAAACAGCTCAGTGACTTGAACTATTGGGAATTGGAGTGTGACATTTCTATATGGACATGTCTACTTAGTTTTTTGTGTTGAAGGATTTTTTTACAATCTAGCAAGGAAAGGCTTAGTCCCCAGTGGTTTTTATATAAATACCTTCAATATTCAAGTCTTCCTGATTTGTGGAGCATGTGGTGTGCCTCCACTTTTGGCTGATCTGGCATTTACCTTTACCACTACTTTGATGGAAATTCATGAGCATCTAGATTTTGGTTCATTTTCAGAAAAGGCTACTTGTCAGAGATAGTTCTTGGCATTAGCTGCAATAGAAAGGCATAGGAGGGGGGAAGCTGCATTTTAAAATACTAGATAATAACTGGAAACTTTAGGAAAGATTTACATTTGTTGGTCTCTGACACCGCCAGGGACAATCAGTGGGAAGAGACCTCATCGGGGGCGACAGAATTTAAAAAGCAAAATTAAGGACCATATTGACACATACAAAATTTAAAATCATAACTTGAGGTGAGAAAGTTTGTTCCAGTTCGGATGTTTGCTGCTCAGGGTAGAGGAGGTGTTGGGGCATGGTTTTGTAATTAGCAATCTGTTCCTGTGTGGAAGAGACTGGGGTAGCCGGTGTAGCCGTGTAGTGCATCTGTGTGCGAGTATGACTGTAATTGCTAAAGGCTCCCATACCCACTCTCACAACAACTTTCTAACTGCCGTTAATTAGCCCTAGATTTTAGGGTTTTTTTCTAATTAAGAGATCTAAAATTAGATTCTTGGTGAGGTACGCAAACAAGCTGCCTTTGTTACAAAGGGGTTCTAGTTTTCTGACTACGTAGACCTTTACTAACTGCAGTAACAAAAGTATTTGGGTTTATGTGTTTGTATGTATTGTTTATTTGCCGTGATGTGGTCTGGAGCCTGAATTGATTCTACAAAATGAATTATATTTCAGTACATACTTACTTTTTGCTACCAGGAACCTGATGAGAATAATAAAAATCAGGATCTTTAATATTCTGTTTCTCAAAGGGTTTGTTGGTTGGTTTGTTTTTTTCTTTTAAAGTATATGCTCGTGTTGAGTGAGTTTTGATCTAAAATTATTGCTAAAATAGTTTGTTTGTCTGAAAACTCATTTGCTGAAAATCATTTTCTTACATAAAGATGATAAGAATTGATGTGCGTTTGCTAAGTGTCTGATTAAAGATCACAAAGAAACTCATATTTTGCATCAGAAATAAGCAGATGGTGGACAGATGGTTTAAATTAATATTAATTAAAAATCTTAACTTAAATTGTTTACCCTGTAAACGCAAAGTTAGGAAGCCAGCTTTCATCTTTAGGGTTAATAACACTCCAGATCTATTTATTAAAGATTGCTCCAATGGGCATTCTTTCCAAGCTTTGATTGCAAAGATGGTAGCCTCAATAAAAAGCATGAAAATGGGTGAAAGCTAGAAAGATAGAGCAATTCTAGGACTCTTAACAAAGATCCTGCAGAGGCTAAAAATTCCTACTGATGTCTGTGGTCTGGGAATGAAGAAATCGTCCGACAAGAGGACTGAGGATTCTGGATCTCTTTTTCATTCTGGTTTCTTGATATATCCATTTTTTTAAAAATTAGTTTCCATCTTTCTGATTGGTTATGTTACAGTAAAGCAAATTCTGCTCAAAAATCTTAAAAACCTTGACTTGCTTTTGACAAAAAAAATGAAATAAAATAAGGGTGTCAAATTCTTTCTCAATTCATCCCTTGTGTTTCCTTACTGGATCATTGGGATTGCAGTGGATGTAACTGGGATGGAAATTATGGCATCTGTTAATTGCAGAGGAAATCCAGAGTGGTGCAATCAGATTTACCATAGAGCACTGAGTATATGTAAAACAGAATACAGAATAACTATGATAATTCAAATATCAGTATATGGTAACCATGGATACTTGTTGACATTTTTAGTGGTAGTGACTACTTTATCTCAGGACATCTGTCACAGAGCCAAATTTGGTCCTCCGTTAAGCATGTAGTGTTCCCATTAAAATCAAAGGAGATTTGTCCCTTTAGTGAGACAGAATTAGACTGTAAGTCCTTGAAGCTTTGCTGTTTTCCTATTTTGTAACTGGGATATTTCACAGAGGATGTGTACATTTTAATGTACACATTAAAGAGGATGGGTACCCTTTTTCCCTAATTCATCTCTCTATTCAAGTTGAGAATCCAGAATTCTAAATTTAGGCTTAACATGGGAATAAAGGGTTAAGATTCATCTGAGCTTTTTGAGTGTTACCATTTTGATTCACGGTTGTTCACCAAAATGGTCTTCTTTAGTAGCTGACTTAAAGTTTAGGGAGAAATTGCAGGATTTTTCTGTCAGGGTCAACTTGAAAGTGTCAGATGATGCAATCCTGTCTGTCTGTACAAGCAGCCTAACGTATGGGTGTGTCACCTCACTAAGAACCTCAGGAAGGGTAGAAGGTTCTCGGTGCATTCTCAATGGATGATAGCACTAGGACAGCGTGTATCCCAGAATGGCGTCCATGTTAAAATGGTAGCCTGCTCCACTGTAATCCGTGGCTTCAAAATCAAGCCCTGAAGTAGTGATTTGACAGATACTAAGCACATTCTCAACAAAAAGTTAGCAAAACTTCAGGAAAAAACAAAACAGATGTAAGAGAGGCTTTAATGTTGGGGGGGTTGCAGTTTGCATTTAAAGCTGTAACCAGCAGATATTGCGTTCCTGTGTGATCTGCTTGAAGAAAAGCTGCCTAAGTGGCATGTTTTCCACTCCAGCCCCCATTGTTCACTTTCCTCCAGGCAGGTGAATTGTGTGTGTCTCTCCCTTCCTGCTGGTAAAATACCCTGTAATTTTCTAATGCTGCTGCAACTACACATTGTATTTTCATGAATTACACCATAGTAGTAGATGATTTATTTCAGAATACCACAATGACAGAGATCACTTTTGGCAAAACCAGTGCATCAGTCTACATAGACATGGCTTCACACTGATTTTAAAAGAGCCATGAAATTATACACAGGTGGAATCTCCATCCTGACTAAGAGAATCTAAATGAAACTTGTTGTGTCTTACTTTTTTTGTTTGTTGGTTTGTTTTGGATTTTATTTGTTGTTGTTTTCTTCTTTGCAGATTTCTTTACAGATTCTTGCTTTGGGAAATTTCTGCATTCTTTTATTCCAGACATTGGCTTATTTTCAGTTATTACTTCTGAAAGTGTCATCAGATTTTAAAAGCACGTCTCAATTTTTTTTCTTTTCTTCAATTCAGGTAGATACATTACTTTTATCATGGACCCATTTCAATATGTCTATGTCATCCGAAATAGCAAGCAACTTGAATTTCATGAATTCGCTGATAAAATGGCTTCCAAAACTTTTGACTACCCAGCCTTGTCAAAAGGAAAATTCCCTGATCTCAAGGAAAACCTGCATAGAATCTACCAGTATCTACAAGGCAAGCCTTTGGATATCATTTCTGACCACATGATGAAAAATCTCCAGGATATATTTGAATGGAAATGCTCACAAGCAACAGATTGGGAAACAGAAAAAATGTACAAATTCTGCTGCTCTGTAATGTTTGAAGCCAGTTTTGTAACACTGTATGGAAGAGTTCCTGCTGCAGATGGCCACAAAGTTATTAGTGAAATCAGAGACAAATTTATCAAGTTTGATGCCAGCTTTCCCTATTTAGCTGCAAACATACCAATTGAGTTGCTAGGAGCTACCAAGAAGGTTCGGAAGGAGCTTATACATCATTTTTTACTTCAGAACATGACAAAATGGCTGGGAGGGTCAAAAGTGGTCCAAGCCAGACAAGATATATTTGAGAAATATGAGCTGCTTGGAGATTATGACAAAGCAGGTAGGAAACTTATGAATGATTGCTTGTCTAAAATAAAATAATTTACTATAGACCTTTGAAATAAAAAGGCAAAATGGCGACCTTGAAATTTTTTTATGTTCTTTCTAATTGGCTAATGATAAAATGTTTTACTCTGAAACAACCCTCTATGATAATTGATTTTTTTTTTTGTGCTGAGGTGGTAAAACAAGATACTTAATGGTGATAATGAGAAAGATTATAACTGAGCTGCATTTCCTCCCCTTATTCTCCCCCCCCCCCCAACATTACATTTCAAACTATTCTCATTAAGCAGAA